ACAAGACAGACTTGACTTGACACGCGGCACTCAACGAACAATTGGATTCCAATAACCGTTATCTTCTAACGTAATGCGGCACGATTAATGTTTTGTCGCTCGCAATCACGTTACTAAGAAATTTAAGGCATGATCTAATCGGGAATTTAATTGAATTTAAATTATTTTATCAGAATTTAAATTATGAATCAGAATTTAATCGAATTTAAACTATACGAGTCTTTCGTCTCGTAATAATTAAATGTCACCAAACGGTAAAGCATGAATTTTAGTTAGTGTCTTGTAATTAAAAAAAAATTATGAAGATATATGTATATATAGCATAAATTTCGATAAGAAACTTTCGAAAATTCATGATTGAATTCACGAGGGAAGGTCGTTCGAGGCCGCACCAGGTTCTTTAGAGAAGGAGAAAAAGAAGTGAAATGGAAAACGAGTCCTTTGGTCGCTCACGCTGCGCGAATTGCTAAACCGACCTTGTGCGTTGTAGCGATTGGCGTAGGCGTGGTTGCGACCAATGGAGTTGTAAGTGGTGGATTTAAGAAAGATTTATCCAATTGGATCCAAAAGAGAGTGAGAGAGAGAGAGAGAGAGAGAGAGAGAGAGAGAAAGTGATAAAAATTTCAAAATTTATAAGAAGATATTTGTAAAATTAAATAGCTATGTCGTTAATAATCATCTTTGTTATAAATATGTTAGATCTGTAAACAACGCGATAATAATAGTTCTAAATTAGCATTTGAATGAAAATTAAATTGTTATTGATCGGTGAGCAAAAAAATAATGTTCGATGATTCACGGATGATTGACGGACAGACTGGATTGACTGGTACGGCCATGGCAGACGCGAATCGTAAATCTATAACTTGAAGTAACATGCTTACATGCGCGCGTCTAAACCATGTTGATCCGATTTGAAACAAGCGGTTCACATAGAATTCATATATACATTCGTTACATCTACTTGCGTGTAATATGATTGTTCCATTTCTCGGGCATCGCTCCAACGTTATTGATTGATTTCTAACAGACCTGTGATGAAACTCTACATCATCAAATCCAAATTCTCATCAAATTTCCATTCTCTTCAAAAGCTATTTATATGTTAGATAAAAATGTCATTCTTTTTTAATATATAAGGAAAATTATATTAGCTAGGATTGTTTGTAATGTCTTTAAGAAAACGTCACGTTTGCATTAAGGAAAAATAATCGGATTAGTATCGATGTTACGAAGAAGCTTAATTTCTCGGCGGAGTGAAAGAGAACATCGGGAAGTATACAGCATTTATACGGGGGCGACGATGGAGGCAGGGAGGCGGTGTCGGAGAGGCGCCAAGGATCAGCCGGAGCGTAATGCACGCGGCATCTCCCGTCTGTCGCAATCAAGATGCTGCATCTCGCTACGAGCCGCTGACGGGCTCGCAACGATCGGGGTAACGCGCGTTAACGCCGTCTCGCATCGACGTGGGCAGATAAAAGGGCGGGTGCACACATACGTATATACAGATACGTGCGGACTCGCGAGCCATCACGATTACGTGCATAAAATACAAATTACGCCCGTCGTGTCGCGCCACAAACACGTCGACCGACTTTGCCTTTTGCCCACCGATCGCAACTGCATGCAAATTTATTCGCGCGGCACGGCCGCGCTCGAGTGGCCTATTCGTTTTTGCGAAATAGCGCGACGCCGGTGAAAAGTTAAGCGATTCGTCGTTCTCATTCGAATTTTATGACTCAAGTCGATAACGCATTCGCCTCTCGGATTCATTAAATTTATTTGATTATCTGTAGTCGTTCCTCTGATTAAAATTCTGACCGCCTGGTCAGAATCGTCTGACGTCCGTCTGAGGTTATAAATAAATAAAGAATAAAAAATTTCGCTTATTTATACTTTGGTTACTGAAGCTTAATAAATGCGCGCTCCTCTTTACGCGCCTCACCAACGCGGCCCCAGCAATAGCCCGTAAAATCATACGACGTGCACGAGGGGCCATTAAACTCACGCGGCACTCCGCTCGCGTGGGCAACCTACTTTTTTTCGAATGCCCGATATTTATAGGCAATAAGCTGACGTCACTACAAGGCTGCATCCTGCATAGGTGCATCGCTTTTAATTAACGCCACGTGCGTGTTTTTCGCGCGAAAATTCCCCCTTTTTACCGTCGATGGCGTCCGATCGATCTGAAGGAATGTAATGAATTCGCGGCACTCTTAACGAGTCGAAGGGAGGTTAACGACCCCCCCGACGGGTCTAACGGTGCGCGATTTTCCGGATGGAAAAGGAAACCACGCTCGCGCGTTCCCGCTGAGATATGCATTATTGGCCTACATATCGCGGCAAGCGGCCGGCGAGGCGCAGCGGGGATCCCCCGGCGATCGGCGATGTTATCGCGCGTATACTCGGTGCCTTCCTCGCGGGCGTAATAACGGCGCGGCCGCGGTGTAGCGGCGTAATTACTTACTACGTGGCGCGTAACATGCAATTCTAATTACGTAATTTGACATTTACGTAGCCGATACGTAGTCGAGGGTGGGCGGGCGAGTGAGCGAGCGAACGAGCGAGCCGTCACGTCTCACCGTGAGAGAAACACCGGAGAGCCACACGGAGGTTGCACCCTGTACCACCCCGAGCAACTACCGGCTTCGCACTTTGCGATCGTGTGCAAACCCGTGTGTGTTCAATGGCATTTGCCGGCTCTCCGATTAATAGGATCATTAGACTGTTAGATCTCTGACTCTTTTCAGCGATGTCGACACTTTTCAGACCTTTAATATCCATAAAAGGCGCGATCGTTCCCCTGATCTCTCGGAAATGAAGTTCCTCGCGATAGCGAAATGATGAAAGACGATATATATCGGAAATATTTAGAGGGAAAACTTTGCCGATTTTATTTTAAATTTAATTATTCAAAATCCTAATTTGTAGAATTTTTTTTAAGGATATATCTTTTTAAATTTTTTTCTTTCTAATTTAATATAGATCGCATTTGTTTCTTCTTATATTAAATCGGTTTAAATGCTATATAAATGAATTAGAATTTTTATTTGATGTAACAAAATTTTTTTGAAAAAGTCGCTTTTAGTGTAAAGTAAGAAAACTGCTGCCTGCTATGTTTCACGACGTTTCTCCGTAATGGCAAGTCGGCAGCACGTTCTTTACTGTGTACTTCGCCATACTGTCGGCTTTATCGACCGTCAGTAAACATCATCGTGCCGTTGCGCTGTGCATTTTAACACCAACATAAGTCGCACTTTGTTAAAGCTAATTGCCAATTACGACACGTCGTTGCTCGTGTCCGACATGCGTACAAATTGCGTAGCGAGGAACGACGCCCTTGTTCATGAAGATCGTGCTTGTTTCATTCCCGAGGCAATTGCGTTATTTCGCAATTATATCTGCATCCCTAATGTTTAAGCGAGACTGGCAATTTGATTTTAAGTCATGAGTTCGACACGACCGTCGAAGGAAACAGCCGTTCCAATTAAGATGACAATTAAATTACAGAGTTCGCTATCAAAGTAAACCGTTTTACGTTTACCGTAAGATTTGCGGGAGTATTTACACACCTGGCAGACGTGTTATGTCTTCATAGTCTACTTTAAGCTCCACCATTAAGATAGAATATCAAACTGTCGCTTGAGGCTCTAATAACGTTCGAACGGAAACTCCGTTAGAAGAGCGTCGTACTAAAATATAATTTGCTCCTCATATACCTTTAATATAATATAATTTATGATGCTTCACACGTTGATCGATTGATTCAGAAGTACGGGTGCGATACCGTTTATTCCTGGCATGTCCGTTGCAACGACCCTTCGATCTCGTTGCGATGGCGATGAGTAGGAATGCGTATTACGACGTGCGTGACAGTTTAATTTAATGAAGGCAGTTCTCGGAAATCCGCAAGACTACCAACGAAGTCGCGAATGAAAGAAGACATCTTGCATATGTTAGAATAACATGGCACACATTTCTGCTAATAATACAAGAGTCAATCCTGAATCAATGTGTATCACGTTGTAACACTTCTCTCTGCGATTTGTAAGAATTCATTAGTAATTGCAGTTTTGCTTTTTGAACAATGTTGTTTGTCGTATTTGCAGGAAATTCGTTTAAAGCGTCAAATATTTCCTGCTCTAGAGATTTCAAATATTTCTTGCTTTAGAGATGTTTTCAAAATAATCCTTTCTCTCTGAATAATAAATCTTTTAGCGTCTCTTCCTTAATCTTAATCTGCATTGAACATTCTGCGCCTTTGTGAAATGTAGCCAATTCGCTGAAGAAACTGTTTTTTCTTGTAACAAGCTGCCGTCTGTATTTTAGTTCGGCGGAAACGAGATATTACGGTACGAGGCAGTCGGTAGAGGTACCGTTATGCGATTGCTATGCCACTGCGCCGCTCTAGGGAATGTGGGTGGAAAGTGAGCGTCTCTCCATTATTGTCTTCCTCGCCACGGCATCGCGCTGCAGTCCTGTCGCATTCCGTTGCAATTTCGTGCTCCCTTTGTGTCATCCTTTTATTTCTCCGCGTACCCTTCGCTAAGTCGATTGCGCTTTATCTCATCACTTATGCTCCCTTTACTCCTCGGTCCTCGGTCCTCTTTTCATCCGTAACATTGTTATATATATAAATTATAAAGCTACAATATTTATTGAGACCTTTAGAAGCCTGTGATAACTGAGAAAGCTCGAGAAACCTAATGGTATAATAATTTGGTAAAATAAATAATATAAAGTAATTGAAATTTTTTTTAAGATGAAGAGCTTAGTGATACAAGCCAATTAAAAACTTTTTTTCTGAATTATACTTTCTGAAGAAATATAATTCAGCATAAAAAAGAAATCTTAATTGAAAAAGTTCTTATGTTATTTGCTTGGAAAACATGATTCATGATATTTCTCTCCTTATTTCTTCCGCGAGGAACTTTAGGAAATATGATTTATAGTGTGTAAGCTTTAAGCGCTAAGTCGACAGGAAATAGCGATAGGCTTACTGTATTTTGATGAAACCGCAAACTGCCGGATCGGCGAAGCGTGCCGCCGCGGATATTCGCAGGTGCCAATACGACTTGACGTCCATCACAGCCGCCGCGTCTCGATAATTCTGATAGCTCGGCGACGGGCTGCACCTGCAACAAAATCGACACGTTAATATTGTAATATCTATGCATCACGCAAGCACACTCTCTTGGGCGTCCCAACGGTTATGATGAAAATCATTTATGTTCATTTATAAATAGTCATGTCAAAACGATAGACGTCCACGCGATGAATGATGTAATGGATATATGCTGTCTTTAGAGTGAATGTGGATGTGAATGTAAAAATTTTCCAAGTTTTTAAATTATCTAAAATTTTTTGTTCTGAACTTTTTCGGAAAATTTCTGGAATATTTATTTATATAGCCTGAATATTTTTATAATAAAAAGATATTGTTTTGAAGACTTGAATTAAAAAATATTATCTACAAAAATTTTAATCGATTCTGATTAAAATGAAGTATATTTAATTATTAATTATTATTATAAATAAATTATAATATTAATTATAATAATAATTATTATAAATAAAATATTAATTACTATAATAAAAACGTGATATCTTTATGAGGCCTTTCTTATATCGAGAATATTTTGAAGTTTTGTGTGAAAAAAAAACGAAATTCTATCTTCAATTATATTGCAATTATGAAAATGCAATTATGAAAATGCGATATTATTTTCGCAGAGGTAATATCGAATGAGCCACATGTCCATATTCGCCGTTCGTCTAATCTCGATTAATCACCGTTACGAACAGGCTCCGCCTGTTATCGACGTGTTTGTATGCCCGATACGCACACTGTCTATCAGGCGTGTTATAACGGGCCACGCGTGTACACGCACGACTCACGCGTACAGGGCCAAGCTCTGTGCACATACAGAGAACAGGAAGCAGGATGTTGACCGAGAGGGGCCTGTCGGCGCGTTACCTATACATAAGTATGTAAATCACGTCACGTTCCTTCTGCCAATGCGACTGCTATATCGCAAAAAGAGAGAAATGAAAAGGGGAAGAAACGAGGACCGGATCCCTCACGTGTATTAGGCAACACCCGGTAGATGCAGCCTTTCCCGCCAGCATTTCCCGCTTGCATTGCTGGCCATTCAGTATTCTATGGAGTTACCACTGATGATAAATGGGAATTGCGAATTAAAGCAGGTATCTTCACGCTCTGATACGCCAGGACGGCTGCACGCGATATTTTCAGTTTTGAGAAATGTAGTTTGTGTGAGTTAAAAAGGATACCTGCCGCATACGTTGAAGTTGCGAAACTGCATAACGCACTTTTAAAATTACCGAAGAATCGCTAGTTAAAAATATACACCGTGTATATAGCACATAATGCGCTCGATTTGTGAGTGAATTACATCCGGTTTCTCCCCCTTTTCATCTCCGTTTCTCTCTCTCGCTCTCGTGCTCACTTCCTTTCTCTTCCTTCCATCCGCTTACGTACATTTTCGGATATTTACATGTTTGGATTCTGAAAGGGTTATGCGTTCGGAAGTGTTCGAGAGTCTTAATTTTTAAAACAAATAAACTTCATCGTACACACACACACGCACACACACACGTAAAGATATCATTTGCTTTTACACACGCGTCATGATTATTTCCGCACGAAAAAAAACAGTTTTTCTGAAAAATCTAAAAATTTGATCGCAATTTGAGGTACAGAGTCTTGTTGGGACATCAAAATAAATAAATAAAGATTCTTAAGCATAATAATAATATTACAAAGGATTTTTATATTTCAGCAAAAGTAACTTAAACTCTCTTTATAGTCATTTGAATAAATCAACAGAATTGTTTTCAGATCTAGCAAATTTTTAGATATTCAGCAAAATTCTTTTTACTTTTTCTGAGAAATGTTCTATTTTTTTTTTTTTTTCCTAAAGAGATATTATAGCCACGGTGGTGCAATATAGAAATACGTGCGTTGAGTTTCATCGATCCTTCGACGTTTTCTGATGCGCGCTGACGCACGAAAGCCCCGGATTTGGCCATTCAATCCACCCCGGAGATTACATTCTACGTGCGTGAGGAAGCAGTGAAAGGGAGAACAACGGACAAAACGGGCGGGAATTACACATTTCGTTTCTGGCCGCGGGAACGTGGCGGCATTTTTAGCATTCCGTGGCTGCGGGGCAAGGTCAGACACACTTGGGCCATCTCCTCCCGCCCCTAGACTCCTTTTTACTTTTACATCTACGTTCCCCAGATTCGAGGCCCGGGCCCACAAAGTTGGCTCCTCTTTATGAGACGCGTACTCGCGGTGGTCGATTTGCTCGATGTTGACGATGGAAGAAGATCGGATTCTCGGTAAGTCTGCTATTTTCACACGACAGTCCCTCGTGTCCTGAGTACAGTTTTATTAGCAGGGACCGTGACTCACGATCCCGCTATATTCGTTGCCAGCAGTGGCAATGAACCGGCCGACATCGCACGGCAATCATTTGTGTCCTACCAAACGCTCTCCCGCACCTTTTGCACGTTTGCAATTGGTCACTTTTCGAGAGAGTAATATATAGTTACTCATTGACTCTCTTGAAATTATAATCAAACAAACAAAAATAAATTACATCGTAATTTTTATGTAATAATTTTTTCTTGGAAAATATATACGATTGTAGAAATGTATTTTTACAAATTTTTTGATAAATATATTCTTTCAATTTTCCATTTTAATTGTTTTAATTGTTGATTTAAATTTTGACAAGATATTTTATGACTTAATAATAATTTTTATTCTATATTTGTCTCTAATAATCAAATATTATTTGTGTCTAATAATCAAAAATATAAATAAATGAATTTACTTTATTTAATAACTAAATAATAAAAATTTCATCAATGAAAATAATGTTAATTTTTATAATATGTAGAAAGAATAGTTTTGCTAAAGTATATAAGAATTTTATCAGATATAGAAAATAATTTTATTGAGTCATCAAAACAAATATAATATATATATTCAGGCATAAAAATAATCACAAAAAAAATTATTGCAACATTTTTTTATATTTTAGCAACAATTTGAATGTCCTTCATAATTATTTTATTGGACCAACAAAATTATTTTTAGATCTAATCTGATCAAATTTTTAATTGCTTCAGTAGAATCGTGTTCTTTCCGTGTACATAATATTTTTTAATATCATATAATCGTCATGAATATAAAAGAGTATAGACTGTTGGGTTTCTTAAATAAATAAAAAATAAAAATATTTATTCAGCAAAATTTTGTCTTGCATATTATTAATTAAAATAAGAAAAAAATATCGCGTAATAGTGCTGTACTGATTGGAACGCAGTGCATTTTGCTACTGCAATCAAAAGTCTACGAAACGACACTGGAACGACCTCTTTCTACGACCTCTGAGGAAATCTAAGGATTCCTCGATGCCTTTCACCACGTTCGGTGAGGTTTCCTATGTAATACTGAATAACATTCATATCCATTTTCCAAAGAATTTCTAAAAATTCGAAGGTTAGCTATGACGAATCCGATAACGAGACAAATGGCTGACAAAACGAACGATAAGCTAAGTCAGTTGATAACTGATAATCGAATGCAGCGGTCATTGCAGCGATAATGCGGCCTATATCGTTGATATCGTTGCGTCTCGTTCCCTCCTCTTCACGCTCGATTATTATAGATTGACTACTTTCCGATAAATACCGTCAGATTTCGAGTCGTACTTATGTTAATAAGTCTGTCCCGGCGGTAAGAGAAAGGTTCGTTTACAAGATACGGGGAATCGACATGACCGGTATGGTCTATAGAAGAGAAAAGTACGAAGTAGGCTATTATCGCTTGCATAATGTTCAAGGTATGCTCTGACCCTTCAAGTATTCTCATCATTTACCGATATTTTACAGTAGCAACCAAATCATGAGAACGTAAATATAGAATCTAAATAGATAAGG